GTATTTTTTACCCCTAATACAAATTTTTAGCTCAACTTTTGACAAAAATTTATAAAAAGGGAGTTGAATACCTTTTTTTCCATAACTTTGAATCAAAAATTATCTCGAACTATAAATAAAAAAATAATAATGTTACTTTTGGAGAATGGTACTCCTAGATCCTATCTAAAGAATATTTACTCCTAGATAAATAATAAAACAAAATGATTGCCGGGTGGGGCGGCATTTTAATATCATTTACACTACCATCAGCTAACAAGAAATCGATTTGTTATTTACAAAATGCCTAATTTTATGAGAGATTGTGGTTTTAATGATTATTTTGCTGAGCTTAAAATATTTTGAGTTTTGTTTTTATTAAAAAGGCGTAAAAAAGAATCAGTTTTTGTCATAAACTGGAAATAAAGAAGAATCTTACCTCAGAAATAGGGAATCATAAATATAATGTGCTTTTTATTAATGTGTTATTTTAAATCTCGATACATTTTGGGGATGAAAACCGGCAACGTATACCGTCGGCAGCAGAATGTGACGGTGCACTATGGTTACCAAAAGTTGGCGATTATTCGATTTCGCCAAGTAAGGAGTTCAATTGTAGTATTTGGGTGATTCTCTCGAAATATGACAATCCACTGTCCCTTGCTCCAAGATCTAATACTATAATACCAAAAGAACTCTTTTTAAAAAAATAAATAATAAATAGCATTGCTGTTAGCATTTTAAAAGGACTTTGCACTAGCATTGACTGTTTTGTATAGTTAAGAAATTTAAATGAACTTCAAAATTTCATGTTTCTTACATGTCACAAACAATGTTTCTAATAATAACTAGCTTCAAAACTTCTCATAACTTTTTCAATATCTAACTTTTTTTTATCTTAACCGGTGTAATCATTTCTAGAATATAAGCAGAGGGTATTATTTACAAAAACTTCGTTTAAATTAATTTTTTCTGTCAATAATTTGTTTGTCCCCAAAAAATCTGTCATTTTCCTGGCTACTTTTATTTAGTGGTTTATAACCAAAGTAGATAGAGCCAGCAATCAATATCTTATGTTAATAGATTGATTAGATACCCTCCTACATGTACATGCCTTGTTGCATGAATAAAGAACCAATTTTCTGGTTTAAAATCTATCTCAAAAAATTTTTCAAGGTGAGTAGGTTTTTGGGTTGTCACTTTCCTGGCTTCTTGAAATCATTAATAACATAAAAACTACATAGATTTATCTGAGTTATTTTAAGAAATCTTGATGTTTTCTGCGGAATATAAACGGCTCAGGCCAAAATATTAAATTAAAGTAAAGTTATATGTTATAAAATGGCGAATTTGTCATTATCCTGGCTGTCATTTTCCTGACTTATGAATGCCAGGACAATGAAGTGTTACCAGAATTTTTTTAAACTGCTAATACTGTAAGGAGGGAAGGCAAATATTAACATAATACCAAGTTTATGTATGATTGTAGTATGTTTGGAGGTTATCAAAGTTATTTATTTATTTAATGATTGATTATTATACACAATTTTATTCTGTACATATCAGCAACAAAAATTTTTTTGATTCTTCCTACAGCGGATAAAAAGAATCAATTTAAGCAATTTATGGTCCATCTAACATAAAGGCTTAAGTTGAGTTACTTACTATTAACTTAAAATGACTGTTTTTTAAACTTCTAAGCTAATATGTCATTTTCCTGGCATTCAAGATTTGGTGAGTTTCTACTTTATTTTTTTCTCGAGCAAGTGTCAATAAACTACACTGCTGTCTGTAAGATAAGTGTAACTAAAGAAGTATACAAAAAAAATTTTAGATTATTTTAAAGACTTTAAATTTGAAGAAATTTTTTGGTCCGAATTGTCATGTTTAAAAAAAATCACCCATTTATTTAGTATCAAGAGCATAGGTCAAAATATTACTCTTGTGTTTGCAATCAGATATCAAAGCTTTAATTTGGCTGCTTTGTCATAGATATGTTAGAACAGAAATTGTACAAAACGAATTATTGTTGGATGTAAAATGTTGCGACGTGTTCATTGTTAAGCTAAAATAACAAAATACGTGAGATTTTTTTTCTACACTATTAACAGATTTAATTAACTAATCGCATTATTGCGACATCTAATGGGATACATTTTTAGTTTTATTTTCGACAAAGATTTTAAAAACACATACACATACGACTTTTTGACGTGTTTTAGAGCTCAAATTACCATTTTTATACATTTTTGAATGGTTAAAAAAAATTCTGCTAAACACCCTGGTCAATCCCCTGAAATTCTATTGTGTTAATACTTGGTTGTAAGCAAGATTTTACTTTCCATTTGTTTTATTTAAGACATATCTTTTCATTTTAGATATAACTTTTTTTTTAAAAAAATTTAAGGATATTTAAGATTCTTCCTTTAAAAATAGTCAAATTTTATAAATAAAATTGCGTTTAAAACGTTATTAAAATATGTCTAAACTATATAGTAGTAACTTTATAAGTACAATGCGCAAACGGACCACCTTGAATAACTTTTGATCTAATGATCGGATCTTCACATTCTGCATTGTATTTTTCTATAGATTACAAAATTATACTAATTATTTCTCAGTTATTTTACAGTAAGTGTAGAACAAAGGAGAATTTTCGAGGCGGTTGAAAAGCCATAACTAAACACTCGAAATAGGAAAAAATAGAATTTGAATTTTACTTGCCACAAAATTGTCGACAGCAGACAAAATTTTCGATAATAATGGCAGATTTTTAACAAATTAGGCCAATTAGGGTATGTTACATTTTCAACCGTCATTATAAATACTTTTGAACTTTTACTTTTAAATTTCATTCACAATATCATGGTCAAAGCAGCTCATACCTGAAGAAATTTAGGAAATTTTAAAGTTAAGATTTGAAATTAAGTCTATTTTTGAAGAGTAAGAATTACAAATCACCATTACGCAGCTAAAATCACGGAAAGACAACTTTGAGAAATTCAAAAATCAGCAAAACACCAAAATTGTTAAACAAATCATTAAAAATGAAATGAGTCATATTGATTCAAGCCTTCTCATTTCGTAGATGGCTTCATGACACCAAAACGTGCTAAATGGGTCGAATTCCGTTGTCTTAAACTACATAATAAACAAGCAAGATTAAATCGGGCAAATATAAATGTATTAATGTGTTGTTCAGCTACGAAGAAAATTGGGAATTTATGTTGTTCTAGACAGCATAAGTTATTATCAGTATGCGAAGCGATGTATTTAGAAGTCAACATATGGTGGTGGGGTTCTTTTGCCATCTATGGATAAACCAGTTTCGAATTTTTGAGTGGTTCTGAAACCTCAGTGGACTATCAATGTTCACCGACAACTAACTTTTAGAGTTATATTAGATGAACCGAAATAGATTTTTCAACAAAATAATACCAACAAATCTATTTTGACACAATAATCGTTTAGAGCTAAAAATATAGCAGCTTTGTACTGCATCTCATATAGTCCTGACANTCCCAAAAATTTTTTTATTTTTTTTTTGGCCGCCTAACTGGCGTTTATTTGTAGAATTGCTCATATACCCATAGAAAATGCTTATAGATATTGTTTTACAAGCTTTATGTAGAAAGGGAAGGCGGTATTAAGCAGTACTGAAACCAAAAGAAGGCATTAAAGCAGCATGGCTTTCAGAAAGCAAAGTACTTCCAATTGAAAAGTGTGTTTTTCAGTTAGAGATGTACTGGGTACCCGGTCAGTACCGTCTTTGCGCATGGCCACACCCGGGTATTTCCCCAACATTCTAGGAGGTATTGATTTCCCCCTGAGTGCCCGAGGGCCCCAGGTACTCAGGGGGCCTTGAGAATCTTACTTTTTATAAATTGTATTAAAAAAACTAAGACCAATCAAAGTTACCTTATATATTTTTTTAAATAAGTATATTATTTTGAATAAAGTGTGTATCATGTTGTTCTTTCTACTAATAGTGATTGATTATCTTGCAAACAACAGTGATTTGAATAATTTATCACCAGGGAAACTAAAAAAGGTAACCGAAGTTTATTTTTCTACGTTCCAATGAAATTTTTATGTGAATTCAGTTTTTTGGGATATACTAAAAACAAATTTAAATACATTTAAATCAAAATGTATTTAAATTTGTTCAAAATATTGCATATGTTAAAAATGCTTTATTTTATGTATGTGAAATTTTTTAGTTCGATTTTAAGCAGTATGACATGTTATAAGGGCCCAAAACATTTCGTTGCTGGGGGGGGGGGGGGGCNTGGGGGGGGGGGGAGTGCATGCTATTAAGACGACCCTGTACCCGGCAATTATCCGGTGCCCTGCCCAGGATCCATCAGTAGAAATGTATTACCCGATATCGCGTACCCGGCCAATTTTATCTGTTATCCAGTGACGGATAACATTTATGTTCCACTCAACCCTATTTAGAATTTGAATTCATATTTCAGCCTAAAAACTATTCATAATAATAATTGCAATTTTGAAAATTCATGTATTCCATTAGTTTTCTAATAATCAAGTTGAAATAATTGGTACGGCATATTTTACTCTTTAGTAGAATTTTAGTTTAAGGAAACCTTGGAAGAGTGGACACTTTTGGGATAGATAAAATATATTCACTAAAAATAAATGTTCATTTTGAAGTAGGAATTGATAAATGACAGGGAATTTTATTGATATTTATTTAAAGTTTAAGTTAAAAAATCATCATAAATAAAATTCATAGATAATCGAAGAAAAATATGATATATTGCTCTCATACTCAATTGTATTATTTTACTGTCATACTCAAATTGTTTTCAATTTGTTGTTAATGCAATTATTTGGGATTGTCGGCTAAGTATTTCAAAGAAACATAATAGCATTTGCAAACAGAACTTAAAATATTTTCTTACAAATGTCACATTAATTATTCTAATGTTATTTCGAATTTGAACATCAAAAAAGATTTATTTTCTAGTAAATAAATGAATATGTTAAATGATTCGTACCTTTATACTTAACTAATTTAACTGTAGCGCACCTTTACGATTGTTTAAGGTTTTGTCAACGAACTAACTGAGATGTTTATTATCGAAAGTAAATTTAAACAAAAAATCCTTCCAAACAATTTAAAAATAATAAGTGTAGTTTGGCTTATTGAGCTTTACGAAATTTGGGTAGACAACCTTTTCACTCCACACGCTCTAGTGCAGTTGATCATGTGATCTGTTGTCATAGTAACAGTAGTCACACTTCTCCGCATGTCGCCACATTTGGCTCAGAATCGGTACTTCTTTTCTTATATCTATTTTAATAACATTTCCTAAACAACTTTTTTCTAAAAGATTCAACAGTCCGTGCATCTAATTAGTCTTAAAAAATGCAAGAAAATTTATAATAAAGAAGAGTATAATGCGTAAAAAACAGAAGAAAAAAAAAAGAACGTTCCGATTAATTTATAATATAATGCTCAGATTTTTACGTGCGAGACTCAATCTTAATGATTTTTGATCCAAACCATAAATGTTCTAACTTATTTGTGCAAATGATGCTTTATTTACGAAATCAGACTCATAAACGCACTTTCTCCGAATAAACACAACTTTTCGTTTTAATACGTTAAAGTATTTAGATTTTTGACTTTCAAAATATGGGGTATAGGCAAATTTATCCGATTGAAATATTTGTAGTTTTAAATGACAAAACTAGAAATTTGAAGGAAATCGGTTGATTAGTTCATGAGTAGCAAAACTTAAAATGTGTAACTTCTTTGTGATGGCGAAACATACAAAAAGGGAAATTAATATTAAGGGGTCCAAGTTTTTGGCTGATCTCTTGTCTAAAGTATTTGTACATATTCTCCAAATCGCGGCTTCTCTCCCCCCCCCCTATGTTTTAAGTGTCAAGAATCCAAATTCATCTCAAAAAAGGTATGATTATTCAATAAAAATACGTTTTTGTGACTGATTTCGAATTTTAAAAAATCGTCTAAACAAATTAATTTGCATACTTAAGTTTAGGCTCTCAAACCAGAAAGATTGAGTCCGAGTTCATGATAATACGATAATTAGATTAAAAGCTTTTCTGGGTGCTTTTTTTTTTCTTTTAATATTTTGTTTCACAAATTAGTTTTTTTTTCTTTTGTTAAAAACACTCATCTTTCAAAATATGTAAATTTAATAGTAAGATTATTTAAATTGCTAATGTAAGGATGGATAATTTGAGAAATTATCTTGCCATATTTTTTTGTTATCCTGATCTCATCCGAAACATTTCACATTAAAAAGTGTGCGTCAGTTTACTTGAAAATACTTGTATGTGTAAGGAAATGTTTGTAGAAAATTACAAAAGAAAATAAAAACTTGTCTAGTACGAAAGATACGCAGTTCGGAGTATGTATATCATAAGGGTGAGTAATTTGCAAATTTTTTATAATTGCTTAAACTGTGGTATTAATTTAAAACTTGTTTCATTATTACACGGCATGTGTTAATTTGTTTGAAAAAGTTCATTTATGTCAAGAAATAGTTTTAGAAAATTTTGAATAAAACTTGTCGAATGAAAAGCACGTTAATTTTATAGCATGAGAATCGCTAACATACGGGTAGACGATTCGCGATTTTTTTTAGAATTATATAAATAGCGGAATACATTAAAGCTTCTTTCACATTAAAAAAAGAGCATAATTTTTATTAATAAAATACCCATGTATGTTAATAAGTACACATATTTTTTTAAAAAAAAACTTGTTTATCAAAAATTTAGATCATGTATAAAAAAAATTAAAAGTTTTTTTAAATTTTTTGTAATGTTTCGAAATCAACTCGTTAAACATTGATAAGTCAGTTTGTTTGATAACATGTCCGTAGAAACCATCGAAAAAAAAGTATGTTTAATCAGAGAAAATACGTTTTTGTGTCTGATTTCGTAATATTAATTAGCACATTAGAAATCAATTTGTTTGATAACATGTCCGTAGAAACCATCGAAAAAAAAGTATGTTTATTCAGAGAAAATACGTTTTTGTGTCTGATTTCGTAATATTAATTATCATATTAGAAATCACCCCTTCCAGATATTAAGATCGAGTCCTAGAACGTGAAGATCAAATTAGATCAGATTTTTTTTTGTGGAGATTTTGATAAAAGAATTTAATCCAAAATAATAAAATAAACACATTTATGTCTGTAATGCTGAAAACTCACGAGAGTTGATGTTATAAAACAACTTTTAGGTAAAAGAAATTTCGCAAAAAAATAAATAAAGAAAAAGAAAAAACGCTTGTCTTATTGTTTTACATAAAGAACATATCCTGAAAATTTTAACAAAATCAAAAATGTCAAAGATCTAACGTTGCCTGATTTGCCAGAATTTCTTTTTTTTAAAAATGGCTCTTAAGGTTGTTGTGATGCACGTAATGTAAAGTGACCACATTTTTATTGAGACAAAGCGGGACAAATGGGAGGAAATGAGAATTACAATTTAGTCAAACTTTCAACACGCACAATATATATATAAAAATACGAATAAATGTTTGCAAAAATATTTTCAACATCAACTGGAAGTAAGTCAGATGCTGTTTGAATAGTATAGGTATAGAATGTGCGCTGCACAACCTACTCCAATATTTTTTTGCTTCAAATGTTCGTTAAGTTTCGTAAAAACGTTATTGATGCCTCTTCTAGCTTTTCCACCAAAATTTACGTTAGTGTTATCCGCACAATGGGCAATAATTTTATTGCTTAAGTTATTCTTTTATAAAATAGTACTTATTCAATCGAAAATTATTTGTGAAGTTTCATCAGGCAATGAAACAAAATCTAATATTCTAATTTTAATTCCTGTTTCTGGATCAAAAACTCTAACACCTGTGGGAAATAATTTTAAATCTTTGTGGTTGGAATGAATATAAATGCGCATATATGGATATAAATGCGCATTTTTCTAATTCTTTCTGCAATTGTGAAAACGAATATGGTGAAAAAACATTACAAATAATTGCTTCGGTTTTTGTCCTTGCACATGCATATTTTTTGTCGTATAATGTTTTGATCACTTGCGACGTACAATCCATTGATCTGAAACTTTGATTGTGGTTTATGGTGCGGAAAGCAAATAGCCCTTCCGCTAATGCTAGCTGTTTTTCCGTGTTGCTAAAGCTAGCACTGCGAAAAAACTGTTCCATTTTATATGAGGAAGCGACATTATTAAAAAAATCTTTTGTGCCTCTTTGTCGCTAGATGCTTAGTAATATCGTTTTTTCCACCATGTGAGACCCAAAGTTCAGCATTGTGTTTATCAGACAGTACCATATAGTCTATTTTGGCACTTAATAAATGGAATTTTTTGGCACTAATAAATGGAAATTCTCTGCTTAGCTCTTCATTAAATTTGAATCCTCTTTTTTTACTCATCTTTTATTTTGTGGGTAAATACTAGAAATAAATAAAGAAATTATTACAAAGGCTAAAAAAGAGTATTAAATTTTACCTTATTGACCGTTACTTTGTGGCGACTATTGCTCAACCTTTGTCAATCAAATAATGAGTCAAACCGAACGTCAAATTGAAAACAACAAACCGCACTGTCTAACGGCAGTCCGCACTTATCTGAATTAAGCCGAGACGTAAAGACAATGATCGCACACCACCGAGTAAATCTAACTTGGTACATTGCCTAATTTAGTTTACTCTGCACGCATTTTATGTGTTTTTTATGTATTTTTTATTTCTTTATATTCACCATAATACTTAATAAATAATAGGAATATATTTTTACAGTACATTTAAAATAAGAAATGCAGATATTTTCTAAAATGCGGGACATTTTTAAAAATCGGCGGGACGCGGGACAGTCCACCAAAAAGCGGGACTGTCCCGCCAAAATCGGGACGTGTGGTCACTTTAACGTAATGCCACTGCATATGTAAGCTTTTTTACGGTCTTATACAAGGAATTAAACTTCTTAAGCAAAAACTGAAATATCAAAAACAAAATTTTTTGAAATTAGTTTAGCTATTAAAATAAAATTTTATTTGATGAGCATCTTCAGATTGGATGAAAAAAATATCGCTATGGAATTAAATAACCGACAGATGACGAATGTGCTGGAATCGAATCCATTATACGATAATTCTCGCAATCGCTTAGCGGAATCACTTGCCGCGATGAAAATAGAGTTACTTTCATGACGGAATTTAAAAAGAAAAAAATCATAAATAAGTTTATTGTGAATCAATTTCAGAATTGCAGGTAAAAATATAAAATGTATTTATTGCTCCATACAGGTAAATACCAAACTACATCACTTCAAAGCATTGAATGCAAACGATTTATTATTTACTCATATACCGCGACTTTGGATAAAAACAATTGAACTTTCGGTTCTTTCCCGCGCCTCTTTGTCGTTAGGAGCAAAAACTCCGAGTCATCGTTTCTCAGCAGCGGATAAGTTGTGAAATTTGATTATTTTAGGATTAACTTAATTTTGTATTAAGTATGTCATGCTAGTCATAAATTTTATAAGCCCTAACATAGTTAGCGAAACCTATTAATGTTTCTTCCTATTTTAAAACATTTCACTCAACTAAATCCTTAAAATTTTTGTTGATCTGCGTAATACTCTATGGAAAATAATTAGTAGACGAATGGATATCTGGATATATTGACTTGTCTATTAATAGAACACTGGCTTGTCGGATGAAAATATACAACTAATGATACCTTGTTTATTATTATTTAAATACATACCAAATTATTTGAGATACCGAAATTACAATCAGATACCAAAACTAACCATCACTTAATTTTCAAAGAAATCTATGCTTTGTCTTTCTTAAAAGCTTTATTTTGTTAAATGTAAAAAAAGATAAGTAAAGAAATTAAATGTCTTAAATAATAATAATAAAAACTGCATAATATAAAAAAATCAAGTAAAATTTATACTGTTTCATGTTTTCAAATAAATATTAAAAAGGAACTAAATTAACTAAAATTTTTAAATTTGTTTAACAATAAAATAATATCTTGCAATTTTATTATTTCTCAAAAGAAATTTTAAGATTATACTTAAAAAACTGAAGACACAATTTATAAAAAACATGTTATATTATCCTAGTATAATCCATAATTTTAATAAAATATAAGATAATTAAATAA